TCCTCCCCCTGCACACATCATATCCATTTCCCAGTCTCCAGTCAACCATGCGTCCGACACTGCCACTCCCATGCCCATACCACCCATCGCTTCAGCTTCACCCTCGTCTCGCCCTGCTGCTGCTGCTGCCACGCTTGCTGCTCCCACTGCCCCTTTCCCTTCGTCTACCGCTGCTGCAGCCCCTGTGATCCCACCACCCACACCGGCACCAGCAGCAGCAGCAGCTATACCTCCAGTGGCACTGTCCATGAGAGCGGCAGTTGCTGCAGCTCCTCCTCTCTCCACCACGCCGCCACCCACGTGTCCCTCTCCACCCACCTCCTCCCCTACTCCCTCTTCCATTTTAACCTTCAAGCTCTCACCCCCACCCTCTCCTCCTCCCTCTCCTCCCACCCCTCCTCCACCGCCTTCTCCCCATTCGTCCCCTCTCCCCATCCCCGCTCCACTCCCGCCCCTGCCTGCACCAATCTCGCCCCCTCCCTGTCTTGGTCCATGCATGGAACTCTGTTCAGAGACAGCAGGCTCTCTACACATGCCACTGGCACCACCCATACCCTCCGTGCCCTCACCATACGACCGCACACCCCCTGACACACTCTCCTGCTCCACACCCATCCACTGCTGCCCCTCCTCCCCTCCCATCCCCTCCCTCCTCTCATTCAAAACCCTCCGCCTTAGCTGCTGCTGCAGCAGCTGCTGCTGCTGCTGCTGCTGCTGCTGCTGCGGCTGCTGCTGTTGCAGCTGCGGTTTGCTTGGAAATGAGTGTTGCTGGGAGTGGGACGCAGAAGGAGCGCCGCCAGAGGAGGCAGCAGCAGCGGCAGAGCCCATGCGAGCGCGGCACAGGGCCATAAACTGCTCGTCTGTGAGGGAATGCGCCAGCCGCTCGAGATCCCCTCCCATGTCCTCCTCCTTCACTGCCGTACTCACAGAACCACAGCCACCGCCACCACCGCCACTGCCACCACCGCCACCACCGCCACCACCGCCACCGCCGCCACCGCCATCACCAGCAGCAGCAAGGCTGCCAATCCCTCCATGGTTCTGCCCCAGCCCGCCTTTCCCCTGCTGCTGCTGCTGCTCCCGTTGCTGTTGCTGCTGCTGCTGCTGCTGTTGCTGCTGCTGCTGCTGCTGTTGCTGCTGCAACTTCTCCCGTTGCTGTTGCTGCTGCTGCTGCTGCTGCTGCTGCTGCTGCTGCTGCTGCTGCTTCTCCTGCTGCTGCTGCCGCTGCTGCTGCTGCTGCTGCTGCTGCTGCTGCTGCTGTTGCAGTTTCTGCAGCTGCTGCCTCTGCCGCTGCTGCTGCTCCTGGTGAGCCCGAAGCTGCGCTTGCAGCTGCTCTTTCTGCATCCTCATCTCCACCTCCTGCTGCTGTGCTGCCCCTGACTTCTCCCGCCCCTGCTGCTGCTGCTGCTGCTGCTGCTGCTTCAGGAACTGTAGTAGCAAGTCGTTGTTGCTATCAGGAGTGCTGGTTGAGGAGCCTCCACCCCCACCACCACCACCACTGCTACCACCGCCCCCACCACCACCACCGCCGCCGCCACCACCGCCGCCGCCACCACCACCAAAACCGCCAGCACCAGTACCAGTGGCTGCTGTTGCTACAGCCCTCGCAGTGACAGGGTGGGGAGAGGAACTCCTGTCTCCAGCTGCCCCCTCCCCTGCTCCCATTCCTGCACCTGCTCGCTCTGTTAGCCCCGTCCCTGATGCTCCCAACCTTCCTGCTGCTGTCAGCTGCTGCTGCTGCTGCAAATAGAGCATCTTCTGCTGCTGCTGTTGCTGCTGCTGCTGTTGCTGCTGCTGCTTTTGCAGCTGCTGCAGCACCAGGGGGAGATTTTCCGGGTCGAATCCTGGTTGAGAGAGTATACCCGCGATGCTGATGCTACCATCTGGCAGAAACACACTCGACAGAGCACCACCGCTCCCCACTCCTGACTCCACCATAGCACCCGCTGCCCCAGCTCTTGTTGCGACACCACCACCAGCACCAGCAGCACCAGCAGCAGCACCAGCAGCTATACCTCCCCCACCTCCCCCACCTGCCTCTCCTGCAGCAGCAAGCAGCTCTCGAATACCAAGGGCAGCAGCTGCTGGGTCCATGCCTTGCAGTTTAGCCTGCGACAGAAGCTCTGCAGCAGCTAAGGAGTGGCGAGACAGACCAAGCCCTCCTCTGTTGCCACCCCCACCACTCGCTGCCACCGCTGTTGCTGCCGCTTCTGCTGCTGCAACAGCAGCAATGTGGTTAGACTGAAGCATCTGCAAGCGTGCTTGCAACTGCAGCTGCTGCTGCTGCCGTTGCTGCTGCTGCAGCAGCTGCGGCAACTGGGACTGCTCCTGCTCTTGTTCCTGCTGCTGCTGCTGCTGCTGCTGCTGCTGAAGCAGCCGCAAGAGGTGCTGCTTCTGAAGCAGCTGCTGCTGCTGATGCTGCTGCTGCTGCTGTTGCTGCAGCGCCTTCGAGCCGTGCCAAAGCAGAGGTGTCAGGGGATAAGTGTGGAAGAAGAGACGGATCCACTTGCCCTGCTTGATGCACATGCTGCTGCTGCTGCTGTTGCTGTTGCTGCTGCTGTTTCAGGTACAAAAAGGTGTGCACACGCAATGAAGAAAAGATGGAGGTCAGTAAGGAGAAGAGAAGGCGAACAAACGCCAGCGGCGAGTGAAATGGAATGAACAAAGAAGGGGCCATCAACTCGTGGTGGTGATGCGTCCATGTGCCTTAGAGAGAGCGGTAACGCAATGCAATGGGTAACACCCACAGAGTGAGTACATGTGCACTCAACCCAATCCAAGGCATACATACTAGCAGCACTAGTGAGTACTAGCACAAAACGTGTGTGTGTGCTCGACTTTTGAGGCGCCGCAAAAGACACCCAGTGAGTACATGTGCACCCAATCCAAGGCAAACTATACTCGCACTAGTAAGTACTAACACGAAGCGTGTGCGTGCTCGACACACTTGCCTGTAGCTGCAAGAAGCGGAGTAGAGTGGTCGGCTCCACACCGGCAGCAGTGGCGACAGAAGTGAGGTGCTGCCATGCCATGGGGGGAGCACAGGGGTGCACAGGGGTGCACAGGGGTGGACGAGCAGGCAGACGAGCAGAGGACATGAACAGGGGTTGATTGACGGACTAGATTGTGAGGCGCTTTATCAATTGTGCAAGGAAAGACGCAGCGGGCTTATTATTTATTGGTAATGGAGTGGGGCTAGGGAGGGAGAGAGAAGAAGGGCAGCAAGCGAAGTGAGGGAACGAGGAGAGAGGAAGGGAGGGGTTGGTGAGGAGGGAGATGGAGAGATGGGGGAGGCAGGAAAAAAAGGAGGTAAGGAGGGATGGAAGAATAACCAGAGCAGACAACGCACTGTCTCCTCTCAAACTGACCTGCAGTTGCTGCTGTAGCCGGCTTCCCTGCCCACCTACCCCTGCTCCTCCTGCTGCTCCTGCTGCCCAGCCAGCAACGAATCTAAGGCAGTCACAGCTCCCACCCCACCCCCTCTCCCCCCAATCCCCATGGCAATCCCACCACCACCTCCCCTTCCCCCGCCTCCTGCCCCCCCTGCTCCAGCAGCCGCAACTGCTCTGCTGCCCTCTGCCAAGCCTCCTCTGGCCATGCCCACATCTGCTCCTATTCCTGCCCCGCTCTCCACTGCCCCACCCGCCCCGCCTGCCCCACCGCGTGCCATTCTCTGCAGGTGCAGCAGCATTCTCAGCTGGCCTATGTCGCCCACACCTTCCCCAACCCCAGCACCCAAATCCCCAGCACCAGCAGCAGCCGCAGCAGCAGCAGCAGCAGCGGCAGCAGCAGCAGTAGTGTCCATCCCTCCCAGCCCCCCCCTGTCTCTTGACAAACCAATGCCCTGCCCTGCTAAGAAAGCAGCTGAGCTTCCAACTCCTCCTTTTCCTCCACCTGCTCCCCCTCCTCTCACCCCTCCTCCTACTCCTCCTCCTCCTCCCGCCCCTCCGCCGCTCCCTCCTACACCAATCCCCTCACCTCCCCATCCAAGCGCATCCATTCCGAACCTCACCCCAGACGTGCCGCCGGACCAAGCTCCCATGCCGGGCCTCCCACCGATGCTAAGTTCCTGGGCTGCTCGAGCCCTAGCCAGTCCTGCAGCTCCCATCCCTCCTGCTGTTGCTGTAGCTGCCGCTGCCATTGCTGCTGTGGGCCCTCCTCCTGTTGCTACAGCTGCTGCACCTGTGAGAGCAGCAGCTGCTGCCTCCACAGACCCGTGCTTCTGAATCAGAGACAGCAGCATGGTATTGTCAATGCTGCCTAAGATATCACTGCTACCATAACCACCAGCAGCAGCAGCAGCAGCAGCAGCAGAGTCATCATCCGCAGGCATGCCCGCCGCCTTTGCTCCCCTATGCAGCAGCTCTGCTTTCTCTTCTGCTCCCTCTCCTGCTCGTCCCATCACGTCACCTCCTCCCATGCACTCCCTGCCTGCACCACCACTAGCACCGCCGCTCATACACCCACCACCGCCTCCTCTTTCTCCCCCTCCCCCCCCACCGCATCCAACAGCGGTAACAGCAGCAGCAGCAGCAGCAGCACTGCCTCTGTTACCACTTGTAGAGCCCATGCCCACTCTGTTAGCTTCATAAGCCTGCCTCTCCCCCAACCCTCCCCGCCCTGCCCCATCTCCTGCCACCACACCATCACCTGTAGACCCTCCGCCCCCCCCCGCTCCCCCTTCCCCTCCCCCTCCCTCTCCCCCCACCCCCCGCCCTCCCCCACTCGCACTGCCCGGAGGCCCCCCGCTGCTGCCACTACCAACAGCAGGAGCAGCGGTAGGAGGGGCGGAGGAGATGGGAGCGGGGGTGGAGGAGAGAGCAGCAGAAGGAGCAGCGGAAATGCCAGATTCCGCCATGCCGCTCAGGCGCTTCAGATATAGGCGGTACTTCTGGCATGGGGGCAGGCACGTGGGGAGGTGGGAGAGGAGGAGGCAGGGGGGAGAAATGGGACGAGGAAGGGAGGGAGCGAGGGAGGGAGGGACAGTTGGAGTGAAGGAACTATGAAAAGCCATTGCATGGCATGACATGGCATGGGGATGGCATGGGGAGGGCATGGGGATGGCATGGAGATGGCATGGGGATGGCATGAGGATGGCATGGGGATGGTGTGGGGATGGTGTGGGACTGGCAAGGCATGGCACGGTATGGCACGGCATGGAATGCGGCATGTGGGAGAGGCATGGGCGAGCAGAGCAGAGCAGAGGCGAGCAGACGAACCTGCAGGTGGCTGGCAACGTTCTCCCGTGTGAGGCCCGGCACTCCCATCATCTCCAGTATCTTCTTTGGCACCGCCTCTGCCACCCACACCCCAACGCACCCACAGGGGTTGGGAGAGGGCAGGGGGTAGGTTTGAAAGGGTTAGAAAGTGACTTCTTAAGTCCGACTCGAAAGCCTTCTCCCGTCCCGTGTGAGGCCCGGCACTCCCATCATCTCCAGTATCTTCTTTGGCACCGCCTCTGCCACCCGCCACGCACCCATAGAGTTTGGAAGAACGGGGCGGTTGGAGGGATTGGAAGAGGTTGGAAAGCGTTGGAAGGGGAGAGGCGTGAGGAGGGGGGAGTGGGGGGAAGGAAGGGGAAGAGGGACAGAGAGTAAGTAGGGGGTTGAGGGAGGGGGGGGGAGAACCAAGAGGGGGTATGGTACAGGGATAATGAGAGGGAGAAGATCGGAGAGGGATGTGACACTCAAAGCAGCGGGCTGGGTGTGCGGTGAGGAGGAGACGATGGAGAGGTGGGGAGCGGGCCTTTCAGTGCATGGGACCACTGACGTATGTACACACAGCACAGAGCACCCATTTGTACCTCCACATTCTTTCGTAACCTTCCCTCCCTTCTCTCACCAAGCGTCCGGCCATCCAGGCGTTCCTGGCTCGCCGCTGCTGTATTGCCGTTGCGCACAACGCAACAGAGCACAGCGCTGCTCAGCACCGCACAGCACTCACTGTCAACGCCGAGGTGGTGAACAGCCTTGACAAACTGCTGGTGCAGCTCAACACTCCAGATAATACGCGCCTTCTTCAACCCCCCCACCATGTCGCTCTCCCCCTCCTCCACCACATACGGCAACCGACCCATATACCCCATTCCCGCACTCAACATGCCGCCTCCACCACCACCGTCCCCACCAGCCCCAACCCCAATCCCAGCAGCAGCAGCGGCGGCGGCAGCAGCAGAGGCATTTGCAGCCGCACGCAAGTCTGCTTCCCCTGCTGCTGCACTCTCCTCGCCGCCTTTCATTCCTTCCCCACCTCCCAACCCCGCCCTCTCCCCTCGACCTCCACCATACTCCCCCCGCTCCTCCCCAAACGCAGCCTCGACGCTTCTCTTCCCCAACCGCGCGCCTTCGTTCCTAGAAGGCGACCGAGGGACTGACGCCCCCTGCCCTGCTCCTCCTCCTCCTCCTCCTCCTCCTGCTCCTGCCCCTCCGCCTGCCCCTGTTTCTGCGTCTGGGTGGGTTGACTCCCACTCCCCCAGCCCTCCCCCGCCCCCGCTGCTGCTGGCAGGGTCGTGTGCGCCGTCCCGCATGCGCCTCAGCTCCTCCTCCTCCACGCTACCTGAGTGCTCCTCGCCCTGCACGCACGCACACGCGATATGACACATGAGGTGACTCTTGAGTCGAGTTAAAGGTCTGCTGGCAGGGTCGTGTGCGCCGTTCCGCATGCGCCTCAGCTCCTCCTCCTCGACGCTGCCTGAGTGCTCCTCGCCCTGCACACACATGCACACACATGCACACACATGCACACACACACACACACACACACACACACACACACACACACACACACACACACACACACACACACACACACACACACACACACACACACACACACACACACACACACACACACACACACACACACACACACACCACACACGCGATATGACACTTGAGTCGACTTGAAGGTCTGCTGGCAGGGTCGTGTGCGCCATCCCGCATGCGCCTCAGCTCCTCCTCCTCCACACTGCCTGAGTGCTCCTCGCCCTGCACGCACGCACAGCAGTGGTACACAGAGCACACAGCACACGGAGCGCAGAGCAGAGGACAGACGGAGACCTTTGAGTCGCATGCGCCTTAGCTCCTCCTCTCCTCCTCCACACGGCGGGAGGTTGGGAGGGAGGGGGGGAGGGAGGGAAGGAGGGAGGGAGGGGGGGAGGGAGGGAGGGAGGGAGGGAGGGAGGGAGGGGGGAGGGAGGGAGGGGGGGAGGGAGGGAGGGGGGGGAGGGAGGGAGGAGGGAGGGAGGGAGGGAGGAGGGAGGGAGGGGAGGGAGGGAGGGAGGGAGGGAGGGAGGGAGGGAGGGAGGGAGGGAGGGAGGAGGGAGGGAGGGAGGAGGGAGAGAGGGGGGGAGTACAGGGGAGAGGGGAGGGGGACAAGGGAGTGAACGAGTGTGAGGCAATATTCTGGGGGACAACAACCACAAAATGCTTCCCAGATGCATGCTTTACGGGCAGAATGGGAAGGCTAGAAGAGGGGAGGGGATGGACGAAAGAGGAATGCGGCAGTAGGACGCACGCAAAGAGGGTCAATAGAGGGACGAGTGACATAGAGGGATAAAGGAGGCGAGTGCGGATAGAGGGAGGGGAGCAATAGGAGAGATGAAAGGGAGAAGGGGGAGGAGGGGACGTGAGGAGGACGGGAAAACAGACCAGGTGGAAATAATAGGCAGGGAGAGGGGGAGGGGGGTGCATGAAGATAGAACGAGTGTGCGATATGAGCAACTTGAGCGAAACCTGAGAGACCTGGAAGGCCCGAGTGACCAGAACTTTCCTTAATGTGGTGGGAGGTGCGGCGGCGCACGACGTGCTGCCAGATGTTGCGCAGCTCCTCGATGCGCACGGGCTTTAAGAGGTAGTCCACCGCCCCATGCGTTATGCCCTTCATCACCACACTCGTCTCCCCGTTCGCACTCATCACTGGGGAAGGGGGGGCGGGAGGGGGACGGGGTGGGGTGGGAGGGGTTGATGGGGGTTGGAGAGCGGAGGAACAAAGAACGGAGAGGGGGGGGAGGAAGGGGGAAGAACGAGAGGTTGGGGAGGCAAAGGAAGGATGGGTGGGTAGAGTTAGAGCAGGAGGAGGTGCGGCGGCGCACGACACGCACGGCAGCAGCAGCAGCAGCAGCAGCAGCAGCAGCAGCAGCAGGGCAGCAGGACAGCAGGGCAGAAGGGCAGCAGCAGGGCAGCAGCAGGACAGCAGGGCAGAAGGGCAGCAGCAGGGCAGCAGCAGGACACGCACTGATGACGGGGAGGTCCATTTCGAGGCCGATGCGTTCGAGGAGTTTGAAGCCGTCCATGTCGGGCATGTACACGTCGCTGATCACCAGGTCGTACGCCTCGCGCCCCTCCCTCAGCAGCGCCAACGCTGTCGTCGCCTTGTTGCATGTCGTCACTGGGGGAGTGAGGGAGGAGGGGTGACGGGGGAGTGGGGGGACGGTGGGGCGGAAAGAGTGGGGAGAGTTGGGGGAGAGTGTGGGCAGAGGGTGAGTGGTGGAGAGTGGGCAGAGCGAGGGGAGGGGAGGTGCGTTCAAGGAGTTTGAAGCCGTCCATGTCGGGCATGTACACGTCGCTGATCACCAGGTCGTACGCCTCGCGCCCCTCCCTCAGAAGAGCAAGCGCTGTTGTCGCCTTGTTGCACGTCGTCACTGGGGGGGGGAGGGAGGAGTGGAGGGAGAGTATGGGGAGAGCGAGGGGAGAAAGAGGAGGGGAACGGGTGGGGAAAGTGTGGGGGGAATGGGGAGAGTGGGGGGAGAGTGGGGGTGGATTTTGGGAAGAGGATGAGGGGAGAGTGGTCAGAGCGTGGGAAGGGGAGGTGCGTTCGAACAGGCAGGCAGGCAGGCGGGCGGGCAGGCAGGCAGGCAGCAGCGCACCTTGGTAATTGCAGCGGCGCAGCATGCGTTCGAGGATCATGAGGCACAGCGGGTCGTCGTCCACCACCAGCACGCGCATGCCCTTGGGAAAGAACGCCGCCGCCGCCGCCGCCACTGACCCCGAATTCCCCGACCCCCCCAACCCCCCTGCCCCCCCTCCCCCTCCCCCTCCCCCTCCCCCTGCGGCTTCTTCGTCTGTTCCTGGTTGCATTACGTGCTGAGGCTGAACTGTCCGGAGCGTCGTTTAGTGCTGCTATACCCACTCAACACGCTGTGGTTCCGCTGCTGCTGGTTCCCCGATACTGCTATTCCCAGCTGCTGCTAGTTCCCCGCTCCTCTTCCTTTTGCTTCTGCTGCTGCTGCTGCTGCTGCTGCTGTAGGCTTTCAATCTGAAAGAAAGTCTTCCGCTTCCGTTCCTCCGAATCCTCTCCTCCTCCTCTTCTTCACCCCCTCAGCTCTTGCCGACTTCCTTTAACGAGGACGCGTAAAAAACGTAAAAAAACGACACCTTGGTGTTACCTACAGCGCCGACTTTGAGCCACACGAGTCGCGCCGTGGCAAGGCAAGCGAGAGAGCATTTGCGTGCTTGGCCTTGAACGACCTCTCTCACGCAACAAGGGAAAACAAAAAAATTGCGCACGGCTCGTTCGTCGCACGGTGCTTGCCGCGAAGGCTGCTTAGAGAACGTCTATTGGTGCGGACATGCCGTACGGCCTTCGAACGCTGTTCATACGCAAACCCTAATTTTACTTTTCGACATTAAATCGATTTGAAAAAGCTGGTGCTCTGCGATGCTGAAATCAACAGCGCCGTCTGACACGCCTACCCTAACCTAGGTCAGCGGTTCAGTGGAATAAGCGTAAGGTTAGCAAGATCCGACTTAGCATGCAACCTGCGAAAGATATCTGTACAGGCGCTTCTGGAGTTATTCTACAATTAGAAGAACAAGAACGGGTCATGGTGTAGCGCAGAAAATGTCAGTGTTGAGGTATTCGTCGGGCCATGAGGCACGGAGACCAGCATTCGAGTATCATGTGGCCTTGAAGCGGCACGTGAGACCTACCCTGATTGCAGCGTCGCAGCCCCTACATGAGATGGAGAATCAAAAGCTGAAGAGCGCTGAAGCTGTTCCTCACTCCAATCACTCGTGCATGATTCATCCACCACTCCGTTCCGTCTCGTGGTGTACCTGGATGCCTAGGGCCTTGTTCGGCAGCAGTTTGGCCTCCAAGCACTTCTGACCAACAACTCAACTAATCTGAACGACAAAATAGCTTCGGCCCGAGCCTCAACAGAATACAAACAAAAAAATAACGTGGGTTACTGTACCGCGTTGACATCTGTAAAAAAGGACACGCAAACGTGTACGATGTCACGCGTCTTGTACATAACCGACAACGACCAGGGCTGGAGAAAAGGAAGCCCAACAACCCCAAGAACCAAACCCGTTCTTCGTGGAACCACGGAGCGAAATTCCCAGAAGGTGCGTAATAATCCGAACGGTTTCCCCCGCATGCTCTGCAGAGAACAAAAAAAAAATGGGAAGGACCACAAAAAAAAACACAATCAGGAAACCCAACAACCATCTACAAACCTGAAACCAATGCGAAACTGGTTAGGAAAGAAGTTCGGCAATCCGACGAATCGTAGGGGGTTTTTACACGTCACCTTGAGTCATGCCGAACCTGGAGATCTACTTGGTTAGTTCGATTTCTGGCTGGTTGTTGTTTGGTTGTGGCCTCTAACTTGTGCAGCCGAACAAGGCCTAGGTTACGAGGAGGAAAGAACAGAATACAGTAGTACAGACAGAACTGAACACGGTGGCACGGCTACCCTGCCTCCTGCTTTCCTTTCCACCACACTGAATACTGTACAGTAGTTCCCTTCTGCTGCTTTCCCTCCCAAACCAAGTTACTGCTTCGATTTGGCGTGAAATGGGTGGGGTGGGGTTACGTGGTGGTGGTTCGTCCCTTTTGTGTGGTTCATGTCGGTTCGGTCAGAGATCAAAACAATTTTGTCAAGGGGCTTTGCAGGGAAAGGCACGCGCGCAGTTGCAGCACTTCAGCCACCCAGCGGTGGATGTGGGAGGGGCGTTCAACGAAACACAAGTAATGCTGACGTGGACATCCAGGATTCGTGATGAGTTCGTGCTGATGTTTCTGCCAAACAGCACAGCACCACTTCACAAAGGCGTGATCAGATGGAGGAATATTTAAATTCGTGTCAAAAATACTGTTCAGATGCTGTAGACGACAGGTGATAGGAGAGCTTCTGGCGTCAGAAGCAGGATCAGGGAAGCAAGAATGTGGTAACATCATTTTCCAGCAACCATAAATGTAGATAGCAAAGGAATTATCTTCATCATTATTTTTCATTCATCTCAAGCAACTTACATGTTATCAATATGCAACGTTAATTTGCGAATGAGATGTTGAGAAAGTCATTAAATCCAGCAGCCCAAATTGCACAAGTTTTAAAAAGATGACGAGAGGGAGTTTTTTAGGTTTCGGTTTTGGCGAGTGTTTTTTATTTCGTCTTCGTTTTTTTCGCCAAACCCAAAAGGCCCCTCGATTTCTCCCTAGTGGGTGTGTTGGACTTCGGAAGTCCCAAATTGCACCTGCGGTACCTTTCAAAGCTTGAACAGGGCACTTCATCAAGTTTTAAAAACTTGACCCGCGCGGCCCGCAATTTGGGCCGCGGGCTTTAAGTCCTTTTGATTTCCAAGTCATGGGGGAGCGAACATGATTTGTGAAGTAGGGCGTATTGTTAAAATAAGGACCTTGGACAAGATAGGACTGTCTAGAGTAGGTAGCGGAAGTCTTTTTTAGTAGTGGGAACCTTGTGCATATAAACGTAAATGACAGGATTAGTAAAATGAAATTATTACACACGTCAAAATCGTATGTTTATATATTGTTCATATATTATTAAGGGTGCCTGCCTGTCCGACGCGCCGCTGCCTATCGTGCACTCTACCCCTTACTGCCCAACACACGCCCTTCGCGCCACCCCTAACGAGCCGTTTGCACTGCCCCACGTACAGTTCTATGCGTGCCTTTCACGCTGTCTTGCGCGCTGCGCCTGCCAGTCCGCTGTCCCGCGCGCCCCGCCTACCCAAGCATACTGCCCTGCTGCCCCTGTCCCGCACGCGCTGCCCTACAGCCGCTGCCTTGCGCGGAGCTGCCCGTGCGCCGCGCCTGCCTGCGAGCCGCTCTGTCGCACCTGCCCGTACGCTGCCCCGCGCGCTGCACCTGCCCGCACGCACTCCCCTGCCCCCACTGCCCCGCACGCCGCTGCCCCCCACGCCCCTACACCACGCGCCGTGCCTACCCCAGCGCGTTGCTGCATTGCCGCCGCTGCCCTGCGCACAGCAGCTGGTGTGCCGCGCCGGCCCGTACGCAGCCCTACTACGCCTGCCCGTACGCTCCTCATGCGTCATTGCCCCGCGCGCCGCGCCTGCCCGCGTGCGCAGCCCTGCCGTCGCTGCTCCACGCGCAGCTACCCGTGCGCCGCGTCTGCCCATGCACAGTTGCCGCCGGTGCGCCACACCGCAGCCGCTGCCGCCCATGCACTATACCGTCGATGTTGCTGCCATTGCGCCACTGCTACTCTTGTGCCGCGCTGCAGCCTCTGCCGACCGTGCACCATACTGCCAACACTGGTTGTGTGCCACTACCACCATTGCACCGGGCCATGCTACTACTCACCTTCTGCCGAGATGTGTTTCGAGCCGCCGTCCACGCCTAGATTCTAGTGGTGCTGGCCGACCTCGTTTCTATTATGGCAAGTACCTCTTTCCTAGCGTTTGCCGCATAGAACGCGCTCCATTGAGTTCGAGTCATGGCTAGAGGACCTGCAATCGTACGTGCATAGTGTCACAAGCGACAACGTCCCCCTGTTCGAGCACACACCAAGGTCCCTTCCAGCCCCCACGATTCGAGCTAAGCATGCTGTTGACGCTGGTGAGGCGGTGCAGCAGCTGACTAGGTTACCTACACGCGGTGGACGGCACGCGACGCCACCGCCTAGTTGATGTTCATCCTCGTCCAGAGGGCCCATTTTCGCAGTTGACGTTGGCCCATGCTTGCAACGATGTTGTGGTTAGGTGCTACACCTCCCTTTCGTCTGCCACCCTAGGCCATCTTGCGCTATCAGTTCTCTTCCCTGAGTTGTCTGACTTCACCGCTGTAGCTGTCAGAATCCCAGCCACTAACCACTGGGATAAAAGGGCTTGTTTGTATGGCGGGTAAGTGCGCCCATAACCCCCCAGGCCGATGTGCCTGTAACCCTTCCCTAGGATCATCGGGGATCTCCAGTGGACCTCTGACACCCCCCCGCACTGGGATGCCCGAGGTGCACACACCGGGATTCGAACCCGAGACCTTTGCTCTGATACCATGTCAGAATCCCAGCCACTAACCACTGGGATAAAAGGGCTTGTTTGTATGGCGGGTAAGTGCGCCCATAACCCCCCAGGCCGATGTGCCTGTAACCCTTCCCTAGGATCATCGGGGATCTCCAGTGGACCTCTGACAGTAGCCGACCTCATGACTCAATTGCGCTCCCTTGACACCCGCAACCGTGCTGCTCTCAAGCCAGAGTTTCTGGCTGAAAACAAGGCCCCCATGTACCTCATTCTCTACTTCCTTACAACTCCCATTCCTGGCTGTTTTCGTGCCGTTAGAGATCACTTCCTCTCCTTAGACCCCACTGAGCTCGCCCTTGCCTTGTTTGAGATCCGTCTCCTCGAAGCTGAGACCAGTGCCCGCGCTGTTGCTGCCTTTCGTGTATCTTCTAGCCTGTCTTTCTTTGAGGGGTGCTCCCCCTCCTTTCTTTGCCTCTGCTGCTACTGCTGACTTCCTCAGTGTTCCGTCTTCCAGAGACTTTGCACACCTTCACGCTAAACTCAGGCCCATCTCGCTGCTTCTTCCATGATTGCACCATAGTCACACCGCTCACAACACCTGTCACTGTCACTCTAGCCGACCCCTCCTCTGGCCCAGTTGTTGCATACGGCTCTACTGTTCTCCCGTGTCCGGCAGCCCCCTCTGGTTCACCAACAGGTCTCCATCTCTCCTCGTTTCTTACGAACTTGGTGAGTGCCTCTGTCCTCCAGAATCTGTTGGTCACTACCACCACTTCTAGGGGCGAGCTCGTGGTGATCTGTACGGACACAGTGACTGGTGGAATTCATTCGGAGGCCTGGGTCTGGCCCGTACACACTGCACACTGAGTCTGCACAAATGGCCGCACTCCTACAGCGGGCAAGCTTTCCCTCCGCACCATTTGTTACCTCTTCCTTGGCTTTCTTGACACAGCGCCGCCTTGGAAGTTTTACCACCCAGTCATGCACCGCGTCACGTCCTCCCGCGATGTCACCTTTGACGAGTCACCACTACCTTCTCTTCCCCCACCGTAGTTCCTCGGTGCTCGCCCCACCCCTCTTCCTGGTTCCAGGTTACCCACCAGTAGAATCCGTTTCTCCACATTCGTGTCCTACTCCCTCAGGTCACACCAACTTCCTTGGTTGAGCCTTGGAGGTCTCCTCAGACCCCTCTGGCCCGGCTAAGGGGGTTGACTCTTCTAGTGACAATACCGCGGCCTCTCGCCACTCACTGCGCTTGGAGACCCCTCCCGGTTTTCGCCTCGGCTGTCTTTGCCACCTCTGCAGCCTGTTGCTGTGGATTCCAATGTTGTTAGGGGTTGTAACACTGTAGGTGTGGGCTCCGTAGGTGCTGGTCCTGGGGGTGCTGACTCTGGATGTGCTGATTATGGAGGATGCTGAGAGTCCTCGTGAGGGTGGAGTTGAGTGTTGAATTGCCACGGGTTTTGCGGGTGCGCTGCAGCTTATGCCGCGGCGCCCCTTCTTTGGGAGCAGCAGCAGTCGTCACTCCCAATTCCTGAGTCCGTTGCTGGAGGTTCTGGGGGTGCTAACTTTGGAGGTGCTTGTTCTCACTGCCACTTCTTGAGTCTGTTGTTGGAGGCTCTATGGATGCAGGAGCTGGAGGTGCTAGAGCTGAAGGTGCTAGAGCAAATCGTCCTAGAGGTACTGCCACTGGAGGTACTGGAGGTTCTGTGCTGGAGGTACTGGAGCAAGAGGTGCTCGAGTTGGCAATGCTGGAGGTTCTGTTACTAGAGGTACAACTGCTATAGGTGCTGAAGGTTCTAGTGCTGGAGGTAATTTTGCTGGAGGTTCTAAAGGTTCTAGAGCTGGAGGTGTTGGAGCTGGCGAGGCTGTATGATCGTTGGGTGTGTTGTACACAGCCATGGCAACGGCGACCGTTTTCCTAGGAGCAGCAATAGTCGTAGCTGCCACCACCTGGCTCGACGCTTCAACATGTTCTTTGTCCTTCGTCTGCCTCTGCAGACCCATCTACCACTATTACTACTCCTCCCCTACTATGTCCATCACCTGACCAGCCTAACTTCCCACTGCTTGCTCCTTCTCGTTACCCTAAACTGGCAAACTCCCTTACTGAGTGTCAAGAGCCTGCGTCTCGTCCTGCCTCACCTGTTGCTCATACTCATCGTGCTCAACGTGTTCGGCCTTTACCTGTCCCTAACACTCACACCATAGCACTTCGCCCTTCCTTTATTGCACAGCATCCTGTCCTGCCATCTATCGTCCTTTCTTCCTGACGTTCCTAACCCTGTCTGACCTTGCTCGTGCTGCTAGTCTGATTGTCACTCTCTATCTCGCCACACTTGTCACTGACCCTACCTTTGAGTCTGCTGATGTGTCTGCCTTAGTCACCGAGCTTGTTGACTTAAATTTTGCGTGCTGCCATGACTACTTAGTGATTCATGTTTTTGAGTCTGTCTGTCCTACGTCCGCCGAGGGTGAGCTTGCCTTTGGCTGTGACATCCTCGAAGACAGGCCGTTTGAGCTTGAGTGCCACGCGGTTGCTGTACCTCATCTCGCTATCATGCTACTTGCCCCTGAGGGAGACCCAGGTGCATAGGACATCCTGACCTCGTGTTTTTACGCAGAGGCGTTCACGTGTCAGTACTCCTTTCTGCGCAAGATAGCCATGGACGGAAAGATGGCATCCTGGAAGTTCAAAGGCACCTATCTCGACGAGGTTCCCCCTCATGGGGCTAACATGGTCAATAGCATGTGAATTTTTATGGTGAAGCGGCCGCCGGGTTCTCTTCCTATCTTCAAGGGGGTCGCCTTCTTCTACACCTTCTTCCCCACCCGGAAAATGACCACTCTTCGGGTGTTACTACACGTTTCAGCACACCGTGATTACGTCCTACACTCGCTCGACTTCTCGAAAGTTTTCAAGCACTGCAGCCTTCATGAGGAAACTGGTTATACTGCCCACCTGGCTTCACCATATCGTTTTCTAATCATACCCAATGGAGCCTCTGACGGCCAGTCTACAGTCTCCATCAGGCGCCCTGCAAGTGGCACGACACACCTAGGACGTCACTTATGGCTCTTGGTTTTGCTCCATTGCCTGCTGAACCGTCGTTGTTTCTGTGCACTGACCCTTCTCTGCCACCATTCTACATCCTCGTGTACGTCGACTCCTTAATCTTTGTGACTGCTGACACTGAGGCACTGGCCCTTGTAAAGGCTGAGCTGCGAAAGAGATACACTTGCACTTACATGGTGAGCTGCGGATCTATCTTGGACCACCTGGGATGAAGCAACGTGCACCATCACTCTGACTCAGTCACACATGGTGCAGCAGGTCCTTCAGGGCTTTCGCTTTCAATTCTCCTCGCCACAATCCACTCTTCTGCCTATGAACCTCTCGCTTTCAGCTATACCTTCAGACAAGTCCATAGAGTCAAGTGGTCCGTATCCAGAGCTTGTGGGTTGCCTCACGTATCTGATGACGTGCTCCCGGCCTGACCTCGCGTACCCACTCAGCATCCCGGTGCGCTATGTTGTGCCCGAGAGGCCCAGCGCTGAGCACTACTAGGTTGCTATGATGGTACTGTGCTAATTGTGCAGTACATCAGGCATGAGGCTTCTTCTTCTTCGTCTTCTTCTTCTTCTTCTTCTTCTTCTTCTTCTTCTTCTTCTTCTTCTTCTTCTTCTTCTTCTTCTTCTTCTTCTTCTTCTTCTTCTTCTTCTTCTTCTTCTTCTTCTTCTTCTTCTTCTTCTTCTTCTTCTTCTTCTTCTTCTTCTTCTTCTTCTTCTTCTTCTTCTTCTTCTTCTTCTTCTTCTTCTTCTTCTTCTCCTCCTCCTTCTTCTCCTTCTTCTTGTTTTTTTTCTATCATTTTATTTTACGACCCTGATGTTTCAGTAGTTTTTAATGTCAAACTCTGACTTTTCAGTGTTTTGGGTTTGAGGACACTAACGTGCCAGTGATGTATCGGGGTCTACATTGAAACCAAAAACTCTGTGATTCTCACATTTTAGCCCGCCGTCATCATTCAGATTCCCACCGTGCACCGACGCCACCATGTTGCTCGACCAGATTCAGCTGAACCGGCTTTGGTTCCCCAGTTACGACCTACACCACCTTGCAGATCGGACTGTATTTGCTGTTGTACTGGCCAAATTTGGGCATTGTAAGGTATGCGCAGTCTAATTCGCTCTGTTATAATATACCGGTATAAGCAACTATGTTGATCAGTGTTGAAGTTTTAGAAACCCTAATCGATATGCGTTTATTTCTAACAACCCTGTAAAATCAGTGTTTCACACAATATGACACTGAAAAGCAGTGTTACCCTCCTAGGGACACTTAGTGCTCAGGGTACCCAAAAACCAAACTGAGGCCCTGGGGTAGCCCATATAGTGTACAACCCTTTTAGGGTTTGCATTTGTACCTTGCATTTCCCATAATCAATCATTACTACTGTTTCGGCTTCGTCACGCTGTTGTGTCACCACCGCGGATTTTGTGCTCCACGTGCGCCAAGTAAACCTGGTGTCAGAATATTATGCTCTAGCCTGTAGTGGGGTGCTCTATAGCGAGTACAACCCTTCTAGGGTTTGCTATTTGTATCCCCATTCTTGCTAGTGTAACCCCTCCTTTGTTCATTTCTTACTTGCCTAGCTAGGTCAACCCTAGCTATGGCTTCTCACTGTCCTTACTATCTTGACATGCTATCAGAGCGGTTACGCTCCTGGCCTGTGGGCCCGCCTGCTTCCGCTGCCTTCCTGTGTGTCGCGCGTCCCGTGATGCGCGATGTTCGAGCGCGCGGCGGTTTTCTGCCCGCCGTGGCCCCGAGGCGCGCGGCGGTTTCCTCCCTCGTGCGTCACCCCGGGGACCCGCGCTTCCCCCCCTCCCGTCGACCGCCCCGTCGCCCGTCGAAGCGCCCCCCGTCGCCCGTCGAAGCGCCCCCCGTCGCCCGTCGAAGCGCCCCCCGTCGCCCGTCACGGAGCCCGCGGACCTGCGCGTCGCCCCCCGTCGCCCGACGCGGCCCGCGCGACCTGCGCCAGGCCCGCGCGCGGCCCGTACGGGCTGCGATAGGCCCGCGCGCGGCCCGTACGGGCTGCGCCAGGCCCGCGCGCGGCCCGGGCAGCCTGCCCCAGGGCCGCGCGCCGTCCCCCGCGCTCCTGCCCCGTGCCACCCGTTTTAGGGTTTGGGGGTGGGGAGTGTGGGGGTGGCGGTTATGGGGGTGCAAGAGTGTGCGCCGTCCCCTGCTCCTCCTCCTCCTCCGTCTCCCACTGCTGCAGCTGCCGCTGAGGGGGGTGGGTGTGTGGGGAGCCGAAGGAGTGGTGCTAGGGGGGTGACGTGGGAGTGGAGTTAGGGGTTGCAGCAGGGGGTGTGTGTTGGGGGGTGTGGGACAGTTGGAGGAGGTTGGGTGGAGGCAGCCGTCGTGTCGTCTGCAGCGCCTGTATTCCGGGGTTCTGATAGCCACCGGTAGCTCAGAGAGCCGGTTGCACCTGTCGCCCGTGGGTCCGTTGCTCCTGTCGCTGCTGATCAGACGCAGAGCCTGTTACTCCTGTATTCCGGGGCCCTTGCTCCCGGTAGCCACTAGAGCTGCACCAGAGCCGTCTGTTGCCCGTGTGTCTGCAGCTTCAGTCGTCGCCTCCACTCCTCTCTCCCCTCGCCAGCCCTCCTCCTCCTCACTTGCCCTCTGTGACTACCTCTAGCTTTGCTCATAATTGTGAACTTTAAACTATTGCTTCTTGAACTTGTGCTCAGAATGTGTGGTGACATTGTGATCCACCCTGAGCTTGTACTGCTTTGCTTGCTCTGCTGATTACACCCCACTTTGGCTATGGGGGTGTGTCAGAATATTATGCTCTAGCCTATAGTGGGGTGCTCTATAGCGAGTACAACCCTTCTAGGGTTTGCTATTTGTATCCCCATTCTTGCTAGTGTAACCCCTCCTTTGTTCATTTCTTACTTGCCTAGCTAGGTCAACCCTAGCTATGGCTTCTCACTGTCCTTACTATCTTGACACCTGGAGCAGTTCGAATATTTCAGCCTGGACATGGACGCCATTGCGGTTGAAGGCGTCAGCAGTGGAAGAGGGGTGAGAAGAGGGGAGAGGGGGAAGGAGATCGTTAGGCAAATTCGAAATGGAATTGTTTTGCTCCTTTCCCTCATTACTGTCGGAGTCGGAGTCGATGTCAGCAAGGGCAGCCGGTTCGTCTTCGATGGCAGGCGCCTTCCTTGGTCGGTGGGTGTGGTTGCGGCAACACGTGCGGAGGTTGAAATGTTGTTGCACATGTTTGCAATTTTAGCGGATGCTGAATTATCTTCTTTATATGTAGCTATGGGCGATGCTGTTGCAGGAGTCGCGGCCTGCTTTTTGAGGAGCGCCAATAGTGTCGCCAGTTGCGAGGGCGAAAAATTTGCCGCTGCCCCGTCTGACCCAGCAGAATTCGTTGCCCTTCGCTTGGGGGCGCTATAGATCTGTCCGGATCCGCTGCAAGGCGACAAGGATGGCGTTGAAATCACCATCATTGTCGCTGCCTGCAGGCCCACAAGCCTACGTGTAAGATGCGCGGGGTTGGGACGGCCGTGACGAGCAGCACGTCGACCCCCGTGTGGGTCGCTTCGGCATGATTCTCGGCAGGGCGCTCTCTCCGCGATTTTTCAAGCCTTATCGATTGACGGGCAGGCGACTCCTTAACCCCGGAGCTCGAATATATTGTTGCTCGTCGGCGCCATCGTTGCTAAGTTCGGATCAAGGTTGTCGGAGAAAAGCGATGACGGAAAATTCAAGCAATGCCGAGTCTCGGTCCTCGCCAGCTTGGACAAAAAAAAAATGAAACATGTGGGTGAAGGCCAAATAGCCTTTGCCCCCTGTTTTGTACCTAGAATAGGGGATCTAGCGATTCGCCGAAGCTTTTTCTTTGGTACAATTTGCATCGCTATTCACAATACACAAGTTTGAGAAGTGTTCCACTGTAAAAATCTTACATATAGAAACTTATACTTTGTTATGAGTGCAATTAAGCGAGCGACCAAGAATTGCACTATCGAAGCAAAATATACATTGAACGAAGGAATGAGCGATTCTTTTATAGCGAAGCTAGCGTGGTAATAGTAATGCGATAAATTGGGGTGAGCTACGGGCCTAGCGCCGAGGTTGGGAAAAAAGGTGGAGGTCCGGAGTGCGGGTTTCCGACCGAGCCGTGAGGTTGGGTCGCGTCGTGAACATTAGCGGAAACAGTGGTCGAGGCGAGTGTCGCGAGTGGTAACGGTTTACTGTACTGTTGGGAACTGTTGGTGTGCACAGTAATGTACGTTGTAAGCAGGGGCGCGACGTAAGGAAAGGGAATTTTCCTTACACCTATATTTTTTTACTCATGCATTATCTTCCTTAGCTATATTTTCTTATGCATGTTTTGCTCGTTCTCTTTAGGAACGTTGCTTACAATGTTTTAATGTAGTTATAGCACTGTTCTAGGTTGCGTGCACCGAATTCTAAGCTTTCCGGTTGCCTCCGAATTGCCTTCTACTGAATTCAGGAATGACCTGTTTGGGACGCTTCGCGACCTGTGGAACCTTCTAGTAACACCCAGGTTACTGCCTTTGTGTCGAGCCTATATATAGCCTCTTGTGTACCCAGATGCTCATATTATAGTTTCTGACCTCACAACTTCTCTCGATGCCATGACGCCCACTGCAACACCCGTTCAGGTGCTCATCAGGGCACTCGCTCTCTGCTCGCCGCCCACTGCTTGCGAAGAGTCACTCAACAACGGAGCCGGACTTAAGGGGAAGGCACGGGTTGTGCAAGTGATCGCAATGTTACTTAGCACACTCTAGCGCTTGTGCATTTACAGAGAATTCTGGCAAGAGTTTCACTAGGAAAGTTGGAGTACAGAATGAGAGTAACAAAGATGGCAAGAATGACTACATCAGAGCCTAGCAACCTAGCAGGCAAGCTGGTCGACCGCCAGAACAGTACAGTCGACAATCTGCTAGGGTCGCCTAGAGGCACCGCATCAGCGTTGCAGAAGAGCGATCTGCCAACAGAGCAAGTCGACGGCTTGTCAACGCCGCACCAGGGCTGCTTGCCAACGCTGCTGCAGATCAGCCTGCCTGCGTTGCATCCGCATGTAATAATAGCGCAAATGCGCACCTACTTCGTCGGTGCGCGGCGACAGTCGAGCACAAGGTGCACTTTAGCGCAGGTGACAGGTCGACCACGTGCCGACAGTTGCGCATAAATAGCCACGTCGACATCGGGATACCAGCCCAAGGTCGCCTTCGCCCAAGGACGACTTCCCTCGTCGACCACTGCTTCCGTCGAACACCACTCTGGTCTACGAACCCCTTCCGTCGACCACAACGGTCGGTCACTGCCGTCGAACTCTCTTCTTCGACGATTGCTCACTGATTCCGTGAATAGGTCAACGACCACTGGCTGTTGGCTCCCATCGGCGACGACATCGCAGCGGTCACCCACAGGTCGACCACCTTGTCGACATGCTCGCCCAAGTCGGCGACGTTCTCTACGTATGGTAGGCCGCACCTCCCGCGCATCCGATCACGAAGTCGGCTTCGTCCAAACGAGGGCGGGGCCAACACCCAATTCTCGTCAACACTCCCCTGCCGCGCTCATGCTTGAGCACTCACCCCTCGCGGCAGAACTATACGAAGAAAACTCGTCGTCGACGTGCACCCAACGCACAGCACGCCGTCACCGCACCAGCCGTGCAGAAGGGCACGGCACCTACTACTGCACGCCGTCGTCGCCGTCGCCGACGTCGGCCAGACGCACTTGGCCGATCGCGACGGAGCACCGGTTGAAGGTAAATAAAAGCCCCCCTCCCCCACTTAAACCACCACTGTCCTCCTACCCCTCCCTCATGTTCATGTTTACACTTCATGAAGCGTTTAGTTCAGCCAGCCATACGGGTTGATCTAGGTGTCTCTCGACTGCCACTTCCTGGTCATAGTGCTTGCTACAAAAAATTGGCTGACACAATCCCGCTCTCGAAGGCTTCCTTATAGCGTACATATTTGGGATGAGATAGCCTGTACTACTATGTGTAAACATGCCCACTCAGCTGCAATGTTTCTGGTGCTCACACTGTCCTTTGCATAGGGAATCAAACATGCAAAACTACTTTTGGTGTGCACTCTAAGAATTTGATACACACAAAAGTGAGCCAATCATTTGCCAATCACTTTCTTCAGCTTCCCGCAGAGCGCCTTTGAATTACTGGGATGCGCAATCTTTATAAATTTACCGTCCTTCTTATAAAGAGAAACGTCTTGAGGAACTTCAGCCAGAGTCATTGGCCCGTCAACCACTGAGAAAGAGTAGCTGTAGTGCTTCTTGCGACCAGATTGATCACTTGTGATGTTATTCCACGTCATGCCGCTTGAACCACCCTCGTCACTGTTGCAGGAATTAACGCTGATTGGGGAAGGTGGGTATCCTCCACAATTTAAGTTGAGAACTCGAATAATGTTGCTGGTGTAGTATAGCAATTTTGAATACCTGCCAACAAGATATGGTTGCAGCCATGAAGAGAGGACAGGGGGATGGTGGTGAAGGGGTGGATGCGTAGGTGAAAAGGGGGAACGGGGGGAAGGTGGGGGGGAGTGGGGGTTAGGGGAATAGAGGTGGAGGGAATAAGAGGGTAGCATAGCAGGGGCCGGGAGCAGAACGTGAGTCCCCTTTGCTGAGTCTTAGAAGGGGTATAGAAGCACATACCTTACTACCTCGACGACAAACAATCCCGACCTTGGTGGGACTCAGCTTGGCCACGTACTTCACTGGCGTTGGGATTGGCAGGGCCGGGTCGCACAGGGGAAAGGGGAGGGTTAATACTGAGGAGGCATGGCTCCACGACCTTCCCTTTGACCTTAGTGGGACTCAGCTTGGCCACGTACTTCACTGGAGTTGGGATAGCCAGGAACCGCGGGGCGCATGGGGAAGACGGGTGGACGGAGAATACGTAATGAGGGACCCTCACCGGGCTCGCGTGCGAGTTGCACTTGTTACAGAAACGTTGTCGCGCTCACACATGATAGTCATAGTCACCAAGTTAGAGAAAAGACACCTGTAGCAAAGACACCAAGTTAAACAACCCATTCGTTGGTCTGCCAGACCAAAGAACTTGTGCCAAAAACAAAGTACGTAGAATGTCCATACATGCCCCGAGGTAGCTCGGGAGAGCAAACTACAAGCAATATGGTGTGCATTGTCCACGCAGGGGGCAACATTGCCTAGGGTTTGTTCCGGAACAGCAACAAACCAATGCGCAAAGAGGGTCGAGAGAGGGTGCAAGCATAGTACCAGCCGCGGTATAGACCTCAGCGACACTGTCGACGTTTAGGTTGGTACACCTTGTAAAGCATACATGTACTATATCGTAAAAAAAAACAACCAAAGAAACGATCACATACGCCGGCTTACTAATGGCGTAGTGACAACAACGGGTGTGAATAAAACAAGTGCCTGTAACGGTAACATTGTTGCCCGGTAACGTGCCACATTCTAATTCCCCCCAATACGAAATATAAAGCGGGTATTAGGTTTGTATAGAGTGCATCACCATACCCCGTATGGTAATCGAACACCACAACGGTATCTGCCACACCACTGCATAAAGAGCCCACTTTTAACGAGCCACACACATTTATTTAGTATATTTACTACATTCAAACAGACTGCATAAGCCACAACATACGCATCAAACGAAGTAGAATCAAAAGCACACACCCTGGGGGGGGGCGGGGAATGGATGGGGCTGCACTCGATTTCGCCCACAAGTGCGAAGATATGTCCCTGCACCGGTGCGCGACCACCTCTCTGGCTATTCTCTCGTCAGACCTGCATCTGGACAGTACGCGCAGCGACTCAGGGATTCGCCGCACTAGGAGTAACCGCAGGGATCGCAGGGGCAGTATTCGCGGGGAGTGTAGGTGACATGTCCTCCATCCCATCCTCCGAAATGACGACCACACTGTCGCGACGGAACCGCCATCCCCGCTTATCTGCATCCCAAAATGGGCCGTGCTCTGCCGTGCGACGCAGAATCACGGCACGCATCCATCGCTTGACGCGCTCATGATACCAGCGCACCCCCTCTTCGTTTTGCGGAGCGCTGGTCACAAGGGGTGCGCCAGTGAGAATTGGAACTTCGACCTGCGCAGCGTGAAAGGCACATCTGTCAGAACACGCACGCACGCATATTAATGAGACATTACTTGGCCGAAATCGGGCTTACTCCGAACAGCCAAAACGCCACCAGGTAGGTGTGCAACACCAGTGGCGGCGGAATCGGCCGACGGTAAGAAGCGTAAAGCCCGCGCTCAAAGTTCTCGGTTGCAAACGGGACTCCCGCCGCGTTGCGGTGCCATGGGCGCAGCTCGAACGTCCCAGGCCCTGCACACAGAACGGAACACACACATCCGAAACAGACATCAAACTCCTATGAAGTCTCTCTAGCTAGTTCCATGTGTCTGTATGCAGACCTTCCTCACCGGCGGGATAGTTTTCATCGAACTTCTTGCATGTAATACGGGGAACCTCCTGGGCACTGGGTCGCGCCGGAATCGTCACACGCGGGTTAGAGCCGGCCCTGTACGGCAAGCCGTGCAACGTGTTGGTATAAGCCCTGCCTTGCTCCCACGTGGTGTTGCGCCAGATTTGCAGCTGGCGAGTGATCCACCCAGAGCGCTTCTCGTCGTGCTGGAGCACCATGTGGAGCAGCGCCCGCTGGGACGCCTTGGTGAGCTTGAGCGCTCGCGCCAAGATCTTCTCAACAAGCGGTGTGGGAACCCAGAAGTTGAGCTCCCCCACCTCCGTGTCGTACACCATGATCTTGATCGCGTCAACCACCACCACCTGCACATACAACGAGCCAAAGGCCGACCAGCATTGACACGTGTTTAGAGTTGCGATGGGTTCTCATAGATTGAGCTCAACGGGGCGCAACGCGAATGGCAATAGGATTCGTACCTTCCAGCCGTCATCCATGCCTGGAAAGAATTTGTGCACGACCTGCAGACGTTCGGCCCAGTTCTGCATCCCAGCGGTAGCCATGCCTCCAGTGTTCGCTTGGCGCACCTCGCGGTTCAGAGCTGCTTCCACCATGGGCGCCAGGGGCTCGTCCCTATGCGTGCCGGTGCGGGTATCCTGCCTTCCCGTCACGGTGCGTTGGCGAGTCGTAGCCGGCGTTTCCACCGCACCATCGCGTTCCCGCGCGCGTACTGGAGCGGAGCGCGCCTCGGCGCCTCGAGCAACGGCGCGGCGAGCACCTTCCAGGCGCGCAATTGTCTCATGCAGCTCCGCAATACGGCGCTCCTGTTCCGCTACGCGGGCAGCCATCGCGGCATCGACCGGGTCGTCAGGTGCGTTGCGTACTGAAACTTGACCACGGCGAGACTCGGACGGCATCGTCCGCCCGCGCGCACCAGGGGGTTGCTCCTCGGATGTGGCGGGGGTAGAGGCAGCCACCACCTCCGAGAGTGAACGTTGGGTGCGCTGGGCGGCTGGACGTAGTAGCAATACAGCGAATTAGCACGCAGCAACCCATACATGGAATACACGCTACAGCATTTAGATAACACGCAATGCGTTTTGAGGTTTACTTACCTTCTGCGTCCTCGTCCACCTCCTCCTCCTCAAGCATCCATGTGTCCTCCGCATCGTCTTCTTCTAAGTCCTCAACATCCACCCGATCCGCCCACTGCAGATACCCCGAGTCCGAATGCGCGTGACCGCCCTGCGCTTGGCCGCCACTATGCGGTGCCACCTGCACGTTCTGACTGTTAGGCCGGGGAGACTGAGCCCCCTGTCCGTAATAAACCATGTCGTCCAGAGTGTTACGCATTCCGGCGTTGCTTCTGGCAGAGCGGCGACATTGCGAGTAGGGAGAGTTAGGAGGCTTCATGACTGGTGAAGCATTGAGAAATGAGATGGATGGTTTGAGAATCGCCTGGCAATGCCGCACATATGCACAACACTTTGCGCTTATGCTCACCTGCCCACCCGATCCGGCAGACGGAAGCTAGGGGGTCCGCACGTGCCTCGATGCAGCGGTGGAAGCAAGTGTACCCGTGTTGCGTTCGCGCCACACGAGACGGATAGGGTCATGTGCCGACTGCAGGTGAGTACGGACGGTGATTGGCCTTTAACTATGCCAGCCGTGCATATATTTTTATCAGGATATTTCGTACCCCCAGTCCAGTCTACTCCAGGGTGGATTCGGAATACCGCGCGGGAAGGAACATTGCGGGTCGTAGTGGCTAATGAGAGCACGCCTAATCTCTTGACGGCAGGATAGCACAACGCAAGTGTCAAGTAGCGCAAGCCAATGCATGACCCGATACGCTGATGCGCTGGCGCCCATTCTGTGTGCTACTTGGTAAGGCAGCCCGTTAGCGCCGAGTCCTACGGGCGATATGCATAACATTACGTGTCTGACGGTGATCTTGTGTATTGGAGGTCATTACACGATCCGATAATATTTGCCTCCCCTGTCCCATAAAATTCGAAGTTACTCAAACAACACATACAACATGCCTTGCCAGATGCTTATAAAACTACTCATAGCCTAAATTCCGGCAAATCATCGTCGGGCCTGTTAAGGTCGTAATCCTGATACACCAGGCGGTACAGCGGCAGATCGGGAAATCCCTTGGGTATCTCCCAAGGATAGACACACATATGTTTGCCCATGTGTGCGTGCCAGAAAAGGCGATCTCGTGGCGGGATTTCCCACCACGCAAGCATGCCCAGTGAGTGCGCTAGTATGCCAGCCCCCATCCCATCGGCGCCTCCGACGTGCTTAAACTGCCTGTAAGGGAGGAGTTCGGGCTGTGGTATCTTGAACTGTTTATACACGACGCGTGCGTCGTCCGCGCCCCAATACTGGAATTTACCGTGTTGGATCTGCACAACACACCGGTGTATTGTGTTAGGAAGCAGCATTGCATGCAAATGCAGAACTGGTGTGCCGCATCCACGACGCGACTTACCACCCAACCCTCACTCAACGCGAAGTGCATGAGGTACGTGCGGTAATTATGAACGGGGGGCCGTGCCGAGACCAAATCCAGGAGGCTTGTCACGCGGTAATTGATGGCGCGGTGTCCAAGCGCAACAATGCTCCGGAATTCATCAGCATGCTGGTGGAAGTTGCTGGAGTCGTGGTGGTCGCGCAACACGGTAAGAATGCACGCCTTGTCTAGGAATGACAGTTGGTTGATTGACGAGAGTCCCCGAGCCGCGAGCAGGGCATTCTTTGCACTGGCCCTCTGCCAGTCTGCGCGGGTATGACGCTCCGGAACCAGATGTTCCACGGATTTCTGGAGCTGCCGAGGGGTAGGAGCCACGCCGGCTTCAATAAGCCTGGTGTACTCGGCCTGCATGAGAACCGAGACTACGTCGTGAAAATCGCGAACGAGGACAGAGATTGATGGAGGTCGGGTTTTGCAGGCGCGGTTGCGAGGCCACACTGGCCCGGGATAACGTGATGGCTCGCCACGGGCACTGTCATCACGCGCGCACCGCCACCATGCAGGCTGAGTTAGCAGGCTCTTTGGAGTTGTATTCTCCATTGATGTAGCTCAAAGGTTACGGGAGCCATGTGCTGGGACAGACTGAGCCGTACCATACTTCGGCCGGATAGGAGATTGTCACTGCTCTTTGCTGCCGAGCACCGTTTCCCGAGTTTGGCGAAAACGGTTGCAGCGAATGTGCCTGTTACATGACGAAACGGCAATGAGAATCGCACAACCCCCCGGACACGTCATCCAGCTTTCATCCTACGTCTGGCATGCTACACGTGTAATGACTTGCCCTGCCTTCAGCTTCTATCCTCGGTTGTGCTTATTTGACCAATCCCCGTAGTTATCAGAGTAGTCCTAACCATTAGTGGAGCAGGTTTTGAATCAGCAATATCTGTATCCAATGGTCCGATATGCTCGCACGAAACAATTTTTCATGTAGACTCTGGCAGAGGAGTTTAGGATTGCTACTTCGAGTGCGATGTCACAAGTACTAAATCGGGTCAGCTCTAAACCCAACTCAAGCTAGGTGCCTCCGAGCCCTGGGTAATGTTGAAGTCCCAAGTCCCTTTCCACCTCTCCGCTCATGTTCTCGCAGGCAGTTTTGTATGGATGCGAGTGGTGCCCACGCCTGTACGCGTCGCGTAGCGGCTTGTTCGGACACTGGCGACGTAGCAATGAGTGTCGTCTCTGTCGAACGCACTTCATCATGTCGACGCCGGCTTACTCCCCAGACGATGGCGACTCCGAAAGCGAGGACGAGGCTGTCCCTGAACCAACCACCGCCGGCGTAGAGGAAGCCACCGGCGGTGCACCTGAGCAGATAGGTGAGGGTGTATCTCCGGCTTTGGTTTGAGGTTGCACCGCCTGTGGCCGTTGTCGCTCATTTCTGTGCGCCATGTGTCATTACCTGCGCAGAGCCTGCCGGCCGACGATGGATTTACAATCAGCGACGAAGGGTCCGAGTCTGAGGAAGAAGGCGATGCCCAGCAGGCACTGGATGGTGCGGATGGCGAGGCGGAAGGGCCACAAAGACGTCCTGCTAACTTCGACACCCTGGTTGAAGTTTTCCGCTTCATTACAGGGTGCAACAACGGGCGCGGACTGTCGAATGAAAGCACGGTTTGGCTGCTCGACTTGTTGCATGACGAACGTCTAAATCTGGACCTGATCCGCCACTGTCGCACACTGCACGCCTTGGTGCAGTTCGGGATGACTCTGCTGATGTCCCGGCGGGTCTACGCGACGACGCCATTCACCATCCCCGGCTGGCCATCCGCGTTCGAGGTTACTCATACCAGTGGCAAGGAGGTGAGTGGCCGTCAGGGTCTGAACAGCTCAGATCGTCTGCGGGGTGCATACGATGACTAGCTCAACTGGTTACTTACCGCGCCATTATGCGCTATGTGGCAGGCTGTCCTGGAGCTATTCGGGAACCCCGAGAATGCTGAAGGTATCGTCCTGTTCGCGACACAGGAGAACTCAGCTGCGGGGCGTGTCTACACGACGCCGCAGTCGGCAAGGTATTGGCAAGAAGCGCAGAAGGCTGCCGTGGAAATGTTCGGTGAAGGGGCCGTCGTTGTGCCGCTTATCTTGTCTAGCGACGCGACTGTCGTCAGTGGAAACGAGCGCGTTCGGGTCTGGGCTGTCTACATCTCCATTGCCAACATTCCGCTTCGTCGCCGATGGCTTGATTGCGGCAAGATCCTTCTCGCACTCCTGCCATTTCCACCGAGCAACATGACCCCGGCGATGAAAGTGGAGCTCTTTCAGGCGGCAATGAAGATTGTGCTAGCGGATTTGATCGTCGCGAGTCACACGTAAGTCGGGCAGTTCACGGGCAGCTTCATACTATACTCCGGTTAAACGCTGGCCTTGTCCGCATGTCGGTCTCATTGTAGATGGATGGTCTAGTCTAGAGATCGAGTACTTGGTCGCTGTTTTTCTAACGTCTGCACTCCGTGAATCGCACTGTCTCTCATATGCGCAGCGGGCTGGCGGCTACGGATCCGTCGGGGGAGTCGCGCTTCATTGTGCCTCTGCTCTTCTCCTACGTCGCGGACTACCCAGAGACGTGCAAAGTCTCATGCACGCAGCAGCTGGGCTCCGCCAAGCCTTGCTCCCTGTGCGCCGTCGACTGTGCAGACTTACGCGACATGGACCGTGAAGCTGCGCCCTATCGGACCGTGGAAGGGCAGGAGGCACTCCTGGACGACCCAGAGCAGGCGAAGCTGTTCTCGACATTGAATGTGGCGGTGAGGCAGCTTGTCTTAGGCATGGGTTGCGCTGTTGACGTGGTCTTGTATTGCTGGTCATCACTTGGGTCATGCTAACCCCGTATGTGTTCGGCGTTGCCCGCAGAGCTTCCTGTGGGCCTTTAACTTCAGCCGGACACCCTGGGGCAACACATATCTCTCGCAGATGCCAGACATTCTGCATGCGATTTACATCGGGTTTTGGCTATACATCAGGGGAGTGCTTCGTGGCACGTTTCATGATGCACTTCACAAGGACCAGTGAGTTTCCACGGGGGCTCTTATGTGGCTTTCAAGCACGGTGCTGTCCCTGCATATAATATCCCCTGAATCCTGTCTGTTATGCGATGTTGCTGTTTCCCCAGGTGCATGACAACTCTGTACCCCGACGCCCGCCTCGCTGGGATTCTCGTACCAGGGAATGGTCACTACTGGGCCAGTGGAGCCAACTTCACGGCGTCCGAGCATGCGGCGGTAATGATGGTGAGAGGAGTCCGCTTTGATCGTGCCTTGCCTTTGTGGTTGCTGTGACGGACCACGGGCCCTTGTGTTTGGCAGATTGTGCCATTTGTCCTGGAGGGAGACGCGGAGATCATGGACCAGCTGACACTTGTGGCGGTGCTCCAGTGGCACGAGTCGTGCGTGCGCGCGACATCGCACACTGACCAGAGCCTCGCGGAGTTTGAGACGGCAACGAGGCGGTAGGTCCGCCATCCAAGCGCATCAACCAGGGGCTCGGTTTCTCGATGGTAGAGCTGCCTAACCCTGTTCAACGTGCCCTTGTTGCAGCATGATCCAAAGCGTGGAGTCCGCCTTTCCACGCAGCGGCGCGGGCTGGAACCTTATCAAGGTTCACCTCATGACGCATTTTCCGGATGCGATCCGCCGCGGAGGCCTACTGTGGGAGTATTCGGCCGCGGTGTTCGAGAATGCGCACATCCGGACATGCAAGCTCCCCTACCGCGCATCGAACCACCGCCAGCCTGCGCAGGCAATTGCGGCGCACAATGTCCGCGCATCCGCTCTTGCTCAGCTTGCTTCAGCCCTACCTGGGCGTCGGCGCAACCAGACGGCGCTGCTGCGGGTAAGTAGTGCTTTACACGGCCGACAGGGCGCGCCTCCCAGGCCCACACACATAATATTTAGCTGTGCATGCGAAGTTGGGATGAAGCCGCGCGTGCACTGACATTCAGATCTGTGTGTACGCTGTCACAGGCGGTGGCGTCGGGCACACCGCAGCTCACTCTGGCCCGGAAGTCGCTCACGGACCGCCCCACGAGCGGGAGCGATGCGGCGTCCGTGTTTGAGGAGATTGGGCGGCCTGCTCCTGTACTACGACACGGTGATGCGCAACGCTGGCCTGCGGCCGCTCCCGGCCTGGGTAACCTCACCACCCTTACACCTAACACCCCTGATACCCCTGCATGTCCCTCAACCAGCTTGCCCGGCCCCTTTTCACCCCCTCAAGCCCATGTCAATGAGCGGGGCTGCACCCCGCTGTTCCTTAATAGGGTGCCATCAATCCACCTCTACGGCACTGCTCTTTGTCACCCTATGCACTCCCGCCTCTACAACTAAACACTGCACACGCTATCGGCCCACAAACTCGCGCCCTGTCTATGCCTTTCTTGTGGAGGTGGTGATACCCCCCCATGATCACCGTAGGTTTCGACATGCTTGGTACCAAGCGTCCAACCAGAGCCTAAAATTGCCCCACGCGTGCCGTTGTCTCCCCGTGTTTTATTCCTGTTGCGAACATGACAGGCCCACACGGCTTTGGCGCTGCCTACCATGCCCACAGATTTCGGCCTCATAAGGCCCCACTACGCAAGGGCAGCGGCGTCCCTGCACGGGCACACTGCCTTCTCGTGTGTGGAGTATGAGTCGCCGCGCGGAGAGACACTGTATGGCCGCCTGCTCATGCTCCTGGATGCAGAGGAGCCTCTGGATGCGGGGGGCCACGCGAAGGTCGAGGTGGCCATCCTCCAGCAGCTGAACCAGGAGGGAGTGGACGCTGCAACGGGATGCCAGATGCTTGGCCCCCCCTCTCTCTTCCACGGCCTTGCCGTCATCCCCATCCACAGGATCAAGAGGGCCGTACACTGCGTCCCGTCCTTTTGTGAGCGGAACATGTGGTATCTTAACAAGTGGGCCTACTTTTGCACCCTGGAGCCATACTGAATGGGGCCCAGTCCAAGCCGCACGCCTCGCGCTTGCTAAGCTGCTGAACCTATAACACCTGCAAACTCACACTATGGTCATGTGTTTTTGCTGCTATATCCCAGCGGGCTGGAACGCTGTGCTGCCGCCTGCTGTGTCGCCGGTTGCTTGTGTCGTTAAATGCCAGACATTCTGCATATTTGGGCGTGTGTGGCTAAGAATCCTGCTTGTCCTATATCTAAATATCTATATATCTACTTCTGTTTTATATAGTCTTAAGCTTGTCCCGAAAGAGCGTTGTGATGTAGTGTAGGGGACCCTGGTCGCCTTTACTGAGACAAGTGCAGTCCATCGGGAGCCCTGGTGTGTGCTTGACTCAATTGTTCCGAATGGTGAGACCGGTCTGGCGCGATACCCGCACGTGCGGGTGTATTGATGATGGGTGTATAGGGTAGCTGCCCAGTTTCGGCAAACATCTGGCATACATTAGGGACACCCCCTGGGTGGATGGCCTGGCATGGGTGCACCTCGGTGGCTCGAGGGGCCCATTATTCTTTGTGACGTGGGGGAAGTGACCACTATTTGTGGGGAAACGACTTTCTTTTTCTTTTACTTTTCTCTTTTTCTGTGGCACTGAAGGAGCAACAGTAAGAAATCATGACGACAGCATCGTCCCAGCGTTGGAACTTACGAATTGTCTTCCCTTTCCACGGGGGCCGTTTAGCCCCAATGATAGCAACGGTAGACACGCTGCCGTCACGTGGGAGTGGCGCGATGAGCGATGCTGATGCGGCGCCGGCAGTGAAGAGCGCCGCACCTGGCGGGACGGGGAATGCGGCAGGAGCAGCGGCTTGGTGAGGGGACGAGAACCGCCAGTTGGGTGCGTTTAGTACCGTACGGTGACCGTAGCAAGCGCCAGCCCGACGGCGGATCCCGCAAATTTCGCAAAAGAAACGGTGACGCGCTCAGTGCCATGCTCAATGACAGTGGCATCAATCCCGCAAAATCGCAGGATAGGCACTGGATACATACTCGAATTTGAATACATTTACTGAAATGCTGCGGACGGTCAGTTTATGAATTCGGGGAGAAAAAAACATGTCCTTGGCACTCGAAAGTGACCATAACTTTAGGCCGTCAGAAACAGCACTGGTGCTTACAGAGCAGGATGAAGAGAAATGCCTGGCGCTCCATGATTTTATACTATAGTAAGTAATTAGACGGAAAGAAAAGGACGAGGTGGTGACTGGATTGATGATTTGGTGGTAGCAGTATACTGATGCAGGCGATGTTGTGTGGTTGGTTTTCTATACCTCGTCTCGTCCCTACACTTCAGTGAAATGGTTCGACGCGTGAAAATGGTTTGAGAACGGTAGACGGGTGGCAGGCACCTCGATGCCGCGACCGCGGGGCGACACGGAGCCGAGGTTCGGTGGGAGCCGTGAATTGAAGGCGGGAGGGAACCGCTTACTGGAATATCATGCCTGAATGGAACTCCACGACGTGGCAGTGCTGCTGAGTCAGCTAGGTTTGCCCAGACCCGTGAGCCACGGAACGGGAATTGATCAGATTGAGGCCCCGGAGCTCTAGAAAAGTCGCCGACTTGGGGCCTTGTGTGTCGCAAGGAGTCGAACCTGGTCCGGGCCTGTGCCCAACCAATGTCTAGCCTCATCCAAGCTCTCCGTCAGGTATGACCACACAAGGTAACAAATTCTTCCTTGACGAAATCGAAAATTTTGACTTCACATTTCAAACTTGACGAATTTTCCTCTCGTGCGTCATGCCTTTGAAGGGGGCTCAGCCCTAAACATCTTGCCGCATTGTGTTTAGGGTTGATGCTTCCCTAATTATATGCCATTCGAATGGGGTTTATGTTTCTGTACAATTGCGTTGTTCTTTTTTGTTAAACGATTATTTTTCTGGGTAATTTACAATGATGAGTCACTAGCGAGTTCCGTCAACCCCAGGCTTGGCTGTCAATGTGACGACACGGAGTCGACCAATCCCGTCGACTTTCGCGACCACCTTGGGTCTCCGCCCCGACTCATGTCTCGAGAAGCAACCCCCGACTATGTCGCAAACACTTCAATTAGGCCGTAATGGCCGGGACTGCCTAGAACTTAATCTCTCCCCCCGGAAGTCGAGGAAGAGCCACACCATCTGCATATTATGCAAGGTTCGCAAGCCCGGACTCTCCCGACTCGAGGTAAGTTATTCGCGGCTAAGTCCCCTTTTCGTGTTTGTTTTGGGTGTTTTGGGTTTTTCGGGTGTTTTCCTTCGCCCCACAAGCAGCCACACGGTGCCCCCAAACAGCCACCCGTCCTTCCTCCGCCAACTGTCAGCTGCAACCTCTCCTGCCCGGCCCACGCAACTTGGCCACTTTACGCAACTCGGCCGCCCCACGCCAACGTGGAGAAATGTTCTGCACCTTCACTCCGACAAACACTCCCGCCGCTACCATAATACCTTCGAGCTACGCTGGCAATCGAACGCGCCACTTGGCCCACCTCCCTTCGTCGCACTCGAACTACACTTGTCAGCTCAGAGACAACTACAATTGCATTTCGCCAAGACTTCCGACTTCGCGCTTGGACTTTCTCGAACCGCTGGTAAGCTTCCCCTACACCCTTCCGTGCAAACCCCCCCCCCATGCTTCTCGAAATGTAGGACCTTCCTCTAAGCAACAGTGCTTGAACCGCCCCACTCGCTCGTTCTGGTACCACCGTTTCATACCCTGGAACTCGCCACGCGACCGGGAACTAACCCCAACTACGTGCAGCGCCAAAATAATCATTGGCCCACGCCGTCAGAAGGCGTGCTGGCAGCCCCGCTGGAGCAGCATCGCTGCTCTGCCACCCTTTCGTTCGGATACGGGCGGTCAGGCATCACAAGGCGAGTGGGTCTGCTACTTCCGCATCGCCTTCCCCTCCCCAGTCACATGCCACCATCGCGTCTTCGGGCTCCCCTCTACGCCCCTGCCACCAAGGTACGTGGAAGGCCATGCTCTGCCTTGGGCTCTCCCCCCCGGCTCTTCTCCTTGTGGCCCCCCTTCCTCGCCCCACAGTACACCCAGAGAACTGCCTCCGTGCTCACGCCCCTCCTGCATGCCCTCGGAGTCTGTTTCTTCTCCTGTATGCCCTCCAAATCGAACCTTCTCTCTTCCCTCGCTACCTCGAAAATTGCTCACCGCCTCAACCCCACGCCGTGCCTTCGGGCCGGTATGGAACCTAGACTCGGAATGCCGATCAGGCTGCCGGTCACCCCCTCGGAACTGCTATGGCCAACGCCTATGCAACCGCCTTGCTCAACTTGACCCCGTCCCTAACCGGACGCGGCAGCCCCCACGCACCGCCCACCTCAAAGCACCGCCTTCTGCAGGCGGAGACCCCCATGTGGGCCGGATGGCCAACTTCTTCCTCGCCTCCTCGCGACCTCTACGGTCCCCAGCTCCTACACCCACTGGTACACTGCCCTCGCCAAGCTCTGTTCCCCTTTCCCGTGCGCTGCCCTGCCTCTCGGCTGCCTGCCGCTGTCTGGGACTATTTCTAACCTCCCGGCCTTCCCCCTCACCACTCAACTCCACGCTCGTTCTCCCACCCTTTGCTCCCCCTCCTCGTTCTCGAGCTATGGCTGACATCCCGCAGTTCGATGAAGCTATGGAGCTCACCGACGAAGACCTCGAAGCGATGGAGCTCCCGGATGACCCCTCTGGATCCAACATCCCGCGCGCCCGCTCGCCCACGGAACTCCCCGCGTCCAAGAAACCGTGCGTCGACGCTGACCCCAGCTCTCCCCACGAATCAGCTGCTGCCACCTCTGGAATCATGGAGGGGCCCGCCGGCACGCCCGAGAAACCCGTGACGTTGACCACCAGCATGAGCGCCTCCGCCGCTGCAGCCTTCGCCTCGACTCCGAGCGTCGCTGTTCCCGCTCACCCGGCTCTTATGACCCCTGGCCCGAGCTCCTCGACCCCGATCGGCCCCGATGTGAGCGCCGAAATGAACGCCACGGCGCTCCCGCTTGTGGAGACGCCCCCCGAACCCGAGATGCCGCGCTCCTCCCGTCAGCCGGCCCCGCCTCCCCCGACTCTGACCCCCCCCATCCTCATGACGAGTAGCCGCTCCGTGGTCACTCTACTCTTCCCGGAGGCTGGAGCTGACGCTATCCGCGCCACACTCATCTCCAAAATCCTCGCGAAAATGAAGCCATCCCTCTTCGACTGTGGATATGTTCCTGACGCTCGCCCCACCAATGGAGAAACCATGCGCTTCGCCGGACGGTCATATGCGACAATCTGCTTCTCCTGGCCTACTGAACAATCTGCCTGCAAATTCCTCCCCATCTTCGATCACCCCATCGAGCTCGCCCCTGGACGGTCCATCCTGGTCAAACCGTACGATGACCCCCACCCCGATTTCACCACGGCCAAAGCGAACGGAGCCCCCGTGCTCTCCCTGTGACGGGTTCCTCCTCGTTTTGAAGAATTAAACCTGCTGGCATACCTGGTGCCCACCTGGCTGGCCGGAATCAATGCCTTCCACCGCATGCAAGACCCCTACGACGGGGTGTTCCTCAACATCTTCACCGGAATCCCGGTCCTGCTGCCGGCAGACCCAGAGTTTCGCACCATCCCAGCCCTTATCCCCGTCGGCGGTAATGAGTTGCCTATACTCGTCAACATTTCCTCCCATGTCTGCTCCATCTGTGCAAGCAACCACCGCGTGGAGGATCACGCGACCTTCCCCGTTAAGCACAAGGGACGCCTCAACAACAAGGCGCACATCACTGTTGCCCAGCTGCAGAAGGCAAATGGTAAAGGTCTCCGCCCCTTACCCTCCTCCCCGCCCCTGCCTCCCAACCACCCCCCCCTGCACCATCGTTCCCCCACCTTGCCATCTTGCTACCGTCCAAACAGACTCCCCCCAAAACCGCCCCATTCACCCCCCCTCCTCCCCGCACCCCATACATCCCCTCTCCACCCCTCCTGCTCCCGTCCCCCCCCACTGCACCTGGCCCACAGGAAGCGCCATTGGAGCCCGTTCCGCGACCAACGCCTTCCGTGCCGACCCCGGGCTTCTCTACATCGGCACGGACATGGATGTCGAGCCATGGACTTGCGTGGCCTGCAACTTCGAGTGCGGCCCAGCGCTCGACAGTGCGCTGCAGCATATCGACTCTGCACAGCACCATGCCCAGCTGCTTGTCAGCGCACGCAACAAGGCAACCAAGGAAAAGTTCCTCTCTTGGAGCTACTCTACCTTCATGAAGGAAGGGGGCTTCGAGGACTTCCTCAAGAAGCTGAAGAACGCGTCCCGTGCCTAATTGGCTTATGCTGCTCACTGTCTCGATGCCTCTGTTGGTTAGGTCTGAGTTGCCATGCACTGAAAACTTTAATAAAACTCGACCTTGCGGACTTGTTGTTCACCAACTATATAACAACACCCCACCCACAAATGGAAAATTTTGATCTCCTACACAAAAGCCTCACCAGTATAGGAACCCTCTGAGCACGAATGCGACTGGCAAGAAACCGGATCCGCATTCATAGCACAACGGAACCCGGCTCCCACCACACTTACCTGCTGAACGTACACCCCTCCAACCGTCACACCACGCCCATAATGCGTGCCTCCAAAACACACGGCCCCACGCGACCTTCCCCACCGTGCAGGCCACGACATATCGCCGACGAATACACTAACACAAGGACCTCCCTCCCACGCACACGGCCACTGCACAACACCCACCACCTTCGTCCCCAAGCTCACCTCCCGGTGTCTTGGAACCAAGCACCCCTCCCTCGCCCTGCCCTCCACTCACCCTACACGACCACGCATCAAAGCTCCCTAGCACACAGGCCGTGGATACGCACGTCTCCCCGTGCGGTGGCCTCCACAGCATGGCCATGTTAACACACCTACGCATCTTATGCATTAACGTTAACGGAATCAACGGGACACGCAAAATGGATCTACTGAAGTCGTGGCTGGCAAGGCTTCCGGCCCCCACCGACCTCGTCATCCTAATCGACACCCGGCTCATCGACAAAATTCCCAACCTTGACCTAAAGTTCCGACCGCACGCCTCCGCTCACGCCCCAGCATTACTCTCTACCGACAATGCCACAGGAAGGCCCACGCTCATCGGTGGTGTCTCTATCCTATCCTTTAACAGGGCCATCTCACTGTCCTCCCCGCGCCCCTCCACTGACGGCAGACTTATCCGCCTTATCGCCATCTACGCCCCCACACAGTTCTATGAACGTCGGGTGTGGTGGACCACCACGCTTGTCCTGGCACTGGAAGCCCCAACCGCTGCCGCTGCATCCATGCTTGCCGGAGATTTCAATTCGGTTATCCTTCCCATCCACAGAAACCGCCCACCCAAAGACTTCGAGGCGCGCGAGGGCGCTTCATTCGCCAAACTCATGGACAACCACGCTCTGGTCGACACTTTCCGGGCACTTTATCCTACGCCGACAGACGTCTTCTCCTTCTATGGGAGGCAACGTCACAATACGGCAACTCCGCCCACCTCCTCACGACTCGACAGGATATACATCTCCCGGGCCTTTGTACCCCGCCTTGCTGCAAGCCCGTACATCCAAACCCGCACGGCAATCACGGACCACCTCTACGCTCCCCTCTGCTCACTCAGCTTCATCAACCCCACAGTTGCCCCTCGACCCTGGCGACTTCGACAGCAGCTACTCATGCGCCCCCATGTCTCACAAATCATCGACGCTGCACTCGCGGTTTTCCCATCCACCCCTTCCCCGGACTCCTGGGATAGGTGGAATCTCGACCTCACCCATACCCTCAAACGCTTCTCCAACCAGGAGAGACGTCGCGTTGATGGCACGGTCGCACACCTGGAACATACCATCGGCTCCCTACAGCGACATGCAGCGTACACGCCCCTGACTCAGGCCGAGTCACACCGCCTTGACCAAGCAAGACTCCATCTGGCCAGGTACGAGGCCGCGAAAGCCTCCGAGATTGCGCTCAAGGCCAAGCTCAAAGTGGAAGGGCACAGAGAAGGGAGTTTCCTCCCTTCTCTCTGGCCTCAACGCACGGATCAAGGGCTCGATCATCAGCTCCCTGACCTTACCTAATGGGCAGATGACGTCGGACCTCCCCACCATGACCAACATGTGCTCCAACTTCTTCCAGACACTCTACAGCGGGAACAACCCCATTGCCCCAAACAGTTCCTTCTGGCAACACATCCCTCCCTCCTCCATCCCGAACCCCCTATTCCTACGACTCAGCGCCCCCCTCTCCCTAGCTGAAATTGGAAAAGCTCTATTATCTCTGTCTCGAGGGAAAACCCCCGGCCCAGACGGCCTTCCTGGGGAACTCTTTCGGCAGTTCTCCCCGCGATTTGCTCCAGCCTTCCACTCCCTGCTCTCCCCCCCACAGCCTCTCTCTCGCTTACCCCCGTCCATGCTGACCGGACGCACTGTCCTTATCCCCAAAAGGGGCGACTCGTCGTTAGTTGAAAATCTCCGCCCCATCACCCTCATGAACGCTGACTATAAAGTACTCGCTCTCTGTCTGGCTAACCGCCTTCAGCTCGTTCTTCCCCAGCTTATTCATCCATCACAAACCGCCTTCATTAAAAACAGGAAAATTGAAGACACAATCAACGATACCCTCGACATCATGGACTGGGCGGCCTTCTCCTCGACCCCTCTTCTCGCTCTCACTGTGGACTTTCAGAAGGCTTATGACCTCGTCGATCGACCCTTCCTCTTCCAAGCCTTAGAGGTACTCGGTCTTCCGGCGTCCTTCATCCACTGGGTGCGACTAATGCACTCTGACACGACTACACGTATCTCGGTCAACAATATGCTCGGCCCCACCTTCCCCGTCTATACGGGTGTCCGGCAAGGCTGCCCTCTGGCCCCTCTCCTCTTCGTTTGCGTCATTGAGATCTTTCACCGTTTTATGACCCTCTTCCTCCCCGGCTTCGCTCTGTCCCCTGTCCAGCGCCGACTCATGGCATGTTACGCTGACGATGTTACCCTCTTCCTTACCTCTGACACAGAACTCGGCCTCGCAGTGATACTCCTCGGCGTTTTCGGCTCCGTGTCTGGGGAGGTGCCCAACTGGAACAAGTGCTCCATTATTCCCTTCAATATTCTCCCCACTGATCTCGCGCACGCCGGGCCAATCCCCGTCCGAGCCCCCAGCGAAGCAGAATGCATCCTTGGAATTTATGTTGAACGATTACACCCCGGATCCATCACCTGGCGGCCTTACATGCCACTGTCACGTGCCGCAAATCTCTGTCATCGATCTTTCTTAATTCCGTCATATCCTATCCCGGCCGCTTTCAACCTGCTCCGCTGGACTCCATCAAACGAATTGACATCTCTGTTGGGAACTTCCTTTTGTCCTCAAGACATAAACAGGACGGGCTCGCACAACGCTTCCTCCCCAATGGCCTCCTTTACAACTCACCCCAAGATGGTGGGGTTGGTGCGATCGCCCCATCTACCCAAATCAAAGCCCTCACTATCCAGCGTGCACTACGCAGATTTGGACCCACCCCATCCGAGGAAGTCACAAGGACCCTGACCCCGTTCCCCTTCGGGCTACATGGTCTGCTCTCCCATAAAGTCATTCTTGAATGAGACTATCTTCCATCCTTCATTCCCCCTCGGGCACGGGAGGAACTCAAAGCCCTCCTCGCTCTTCCCCTGGTCATTCATGGCCCACCCCTACGCATGCAATGCATCCTTACCGAACCTCTCGCCTTCAACCGGATGCTCCTCAAACCCGACGAGCGACCTTTCGGCACCCGCCAACACGAGCGATTCCTGCTTACACGACAGCTCCGCATTGGACACATTGTCCGAATCACCAACTTCGACGTCAGCCCTATCTCTGCTCAGGAATTCTGCTCCCAGCTCCCGGAGGAATTTCACGACGACGCCACACGCCTCCTCCCAGACCTCATCGAGGCTATCAAGCCGCCCTGGTGGACCGGCCTCCGATCCCCTCACCCCTCCTCTGCCTCCCCCGGAGATTGGTTCATGCCCTCGGATGACCATTACTCCATATCTCACCTCGCTATCCAGGTCGTCGCTTTCACCCCCCCTTCTACCGTCTCGGCTACTGTCCACCCCGTCTCGCCCGACCATCGCATCGGCCGTACCCCAATCAATACCACCATACAGGGAACGGTGGCCACATTGAGGTGTATGTCAGGGAATGGTGGCTCGCAGGGCCACTTCATACAGGGGCAGAGTTAGGAGCTAGGATAGAACTTCTGCAGGACGGCATCCCCAGCCTCGCCGACATCCGCCGTCTCCTCTACTCCACGCAGCCGCTTACTCACCACAGCCGATGGACCCCGGACCTCACCATTCCTCCTCCCCATCTCCCTGGCCTTAAAGACCCCTTTCTCAAAGACCAGTCGAGCCGCCAACGGGATATCCTCTTCAGACTCTACACACTAACTCTCCCCTCTGGATCTCGCTTCCAATATTTTGACGACCGAGGGGTTTGCCCCCGATGCCTTGCTGCTGTTGTAGAGACACTGCCGCATATCTTCTTCGAATGCGCCTCCGCCGGAAATGTCATCTCTGCTCTGCGCACAGTCGCCGACCGTCACCTCGGACAAACCTCCCCCACCGAACACATCTTCTTCCCGCTACAATCACGGGTCGGACAGTCCCCCCCATGGAGCCTACTAGTAGGAGCAGCAGTCAAGACGCTGTGGAACAGCCGCTGTGACCACAGGTACCGCAACTCCTCCTCCTCGAGCTTTGAGATACTGCAGCTGATCTTAGCCCAGTTCCTCATCGCCTTCAAAATCTACATGTGGAGAGGCAAACGCCAATCGGCCAAGAAGCGGCAACGTATATCATCCAGCATTAAACGGGCTCAGAAACTCTGCTTCCTATGCTTTGACAGGACCGGCACACCCTATATCCACCCCGACCTAAGGTTCTCCTGGCTCTTAGGAAACCCGTTCCGACCACCATAGCCATCTATCGCATAGAGCGTCTCCCCAGGCAGCTGGCGGTTGTCCGAGAGGACAAGGAATAACGTGTGTTCCACGTGCTCCATTGCGGATGCTGGCCACCTCGGCCATGTTTCTAGACTGCTCTATGGACTGCACTTTGTACTTTGATTACGATCAATATATAACCTTAACCTTAACCTTAACCGTCAACCCCAGGCCAGTAGGTGGTGACCAGGCGAGAAGGCCAGGCTCGGCATGTGCTGGTTGCTTCGTGGGGGTACGTAGTAGGGGCGCGACTCACAAGGCCCCAAGTTGGCAACTTTACTGCTACTCCGGGGCCCCTTTTT